CATTCATTTTAAAACCTCCATGTTATTTCTTAAAACATATTAAGCCTATTTTATGAACAATGCTCTGATAATTCTAGGATCTCCAGTCTTCATGAATTTCATTCTGTAGCTTGCACTCAAATTTCCTCTTTTCCTCAAGTATTTTGCATTTTGCATTATTAGAGTTTGAAAAAACATGTTTAAAGTGAACAAATTTTAAATAAACAGCTCATGAATTTTCATATTATGTACACTCCTGTTTAACCACTCCCCAGATCAACATGTGGGACATTTCCTTCACTCCAGGCCCATTCCCCCTTCCCACCTCTGGGTAAACTCTAATTTGACTTCTGGCACGTTGACTAGTTTGGCCTGTTCTTGACTCTTACATAAATGGAATAGCATACATTCTAGTCTGCGCCAGGCTTCTTGCACCTAACGTGTTTTTCATACTCATCCATGTTATTGGATGCATCAATAATTCACATTTTGCTTTTTGTTTTACTATGTAGTATTCCATCGTATGAATATACTACAATTGACCTTCTCTTGGTGACCACCTTTAGTAACAAAGCTATGAACATGTGGACACATTTTCATTTCTCTTGAAAACTCCTTCCTCCCCCAGTACCCCTTCCCAAGTAATAATTCTGGGTTACAGAGTGGACATAGTTTTAAGCTTCCTCAGAAGCCACTCCTTTCCCAAGTAGCTGTTCCATTTCACCCTCGACAGCCATGTAGGAGTCCCAGCTGTTTGTGTCCACTGCTGTTACTGTAGGGTCTCTCATTTTTGGTTCTAATTTCTATTGCTAATCATGCCAAGCATCTTTTCATACAGTTATTCTTTTTGTCAAGTGACTGTTCAGGTTTTTGCCTCACATATACTTTCTCCCAGTCTGTGGCTGCATTTTTACTTTTAACAGTGTCTTTTTTTGATTTTTTTTTTTAAATGGTCAGTGCTTTCTGTGAACTCCAATCCTTGCCGACTCCAAGATTGCAAAGATAATTCTGTTTTCTTCTAGGTTTGCAATTTAAATTTTTAGCTTTAGACCTATCATCCATCTTTTGTGTTTGGTAAGGTAAACGGTTCATTTTTATTCATATTGATGTCTAGTTGCTTTAGCACACTTACTGGGGGTGGGAGAGACAAAAAACCAAAAACCAGTATATAATTTAGGAAGGTATATAGATCAAATACCCTAGGCCACTAAGACACCTCAGTTAAGTTCATAGAACGGAGATCAATCATATTGGATAACATTGAGAGCTAACATTCAGTAGTGGTTGAAAATGGGCTATTTATCCTCAACAACAAGAGTCAAGGATGAATTATGAGGTGCTTTGGAAGAATAGGGGACTGGGAACCAGCAAATAGGGGTCTAGCACTACATTCTGTTAGGCTGGATGTGAGGAGCTTATTTGGTTTAGACTAGGTTTAGAATCCTGCGTCCACCACTAGTTTAAAAATCGCAAGTTACTTTTTTTACTCAATTCCCAGGAAAGAATAAAAGAAAATGGGTTATTTCTCCTGCTGGACTACTGAAACACTTTGACCTTTGTTTGAACAAGGAATGACCCTCCCCATTGTAGCCTGTCAAATTTCTATCCTTGTTTCAAAGCCTGGTTAAAACACTATTTTCTCCAGGCAACTTTTCCAAATCTTTCTTCAATAATAATCACCATAACACTTCCAGAGACATAGGACATCCCTGAGTTCAAAGGTAGTATAATTGAGTGCAGCTTACACAAGACAAACTGAACCTAACATTTGTTAAGTCTGACTTTCTACAATGTCACAAGGATGCTTTGGAAAAAAACATCCTTTGGTTTCCCAGTAGCCTCAGAATATAATCTAAACTCCATATAGCTCAGCTTCCAAGACAGTTCATACTGTTCCAATTTACATACTTAGCTCCATTGCTCATTACTCCCCAGTATGTTTCATTCTGAGCCAATCCTCATAGGTCTTTCCTTTAAATGAAGAGATTTTTTTTTTAACCATCTCAGTCTCATCTCAAGTGCTCATGAATAACATAGTGTAGTAAATAAACACAAGACTAAGATTCAGAACACCCAAGTCAAGAAAGCCCAGTTGTGACTAATATCCTTCTAAATATCACTTGTCTATTCCCCCCATCTATAGGCTGCTGGGAAATCACATAAAATCATTGTATAAACATAGCACTCTACAAAGTTCAATTACTGAACTGACTCCATATATATCAAGGTAGCCAGCTGGTGTGCAATGCAAAAATTAAAATAATTTATACTTCGCTTGCTTGCCTGAGTGTCATCAGTTGTGTAGAGGTCACACTTGAACCTTAAGAAATCATCAACTCACACATTCCTTTCTCTATCACAGCTCCCGATATTCAGTACTGAACACACATACACACAACTTAAACTTGGACATGAGCTAAGCCAGGGCAACCTCCACCATTACTTTGCCACTGTCTTCACTCTACCCACTATTTCAGTCTTCGGTGAAAAGAGTACTGTTAGTAGGCCAACCGACTGAAGTTTACATTAAACTTCGAGAAACGGAACATGACAAATTTGTCGTGTTTTCCTCACCTATAAAACCAGGTGATGTTTGATAGTAGCTACAATTTGAGAAAACTTAAAAAAAATAAAATAGACAAAATATAAAGCGGGTAGGCACCACGTAACACTTATCTCTGTCACTTGTATTTCAACCTATCATACGTGGATTCATTTCATTCATCATTTTAACAAGTTTCCAGCTCTTTTCTTTTAATTTTAATATTCTTAGCTTTCCTAAAGGCCAAAACTAAAACAAAAAAAGCTCCTAATGTTAAAAAAAAAAAAAAAAACCATTACAACCTAGCGAGGCATCAATCAAATAATCGAATTAGGCTCTAATTTCTCAGATGTTCTTTGCCAACTGGATGTTTTGATACATGAAAAGTACTGGACTTCAAGTTCAATAAACCTGCGGAAAATATGGAAGAAGAAAAATTTCCTACTGAACTACAAGGGAGTTAGATTATTTGACCTTTTGATTCCTAGAGATATCTAGGCCTAGCAGACAGGAGCCTAACACTTACCTTGAAAATGGCAATGTACTTATTATGTTTCACACATAATCCTAAGCAAGTGTGATTATATTCTCACCATACCACAGTATTAAAATACATTACAGAAAAAAAAACCCCCATATTTTCATAAGCATATTTTAATTTTTTTGAATTTTAACAATTCAAATAAAATTCAGCTAGTTAACATAAATACAGAGTAAATGCACATAATGTACAGCCATGTACAGAAAGGCAATAATAGCAAACCTCATACAAATGGTCAAAAGATGTCAACTTTTTGAAGTTGATTATTTAGCTACGACTGAGGTCATAATTTAATTGTTCACATATGCAGGGGTACACATTCAAAACATTTAACACAAAAACTGAGTGAAACTAGAATTCTCAGTTTCTAAACAGAGTAAGCATAAAAAGCAGTGTATAGATTAACGAGAAATATAAGGGCATGATGGAGAAGAGATCTGAGTGGAGAGAAAGTTAGTACATTATATTAAACACTTTTATATAATTAAAATTCCTCCCTAATTTAAATCATTCAGAAATATCTATATTCTTAGGAATGTTAAAGTCATGAACAATATCAGAGGAGAAAAAGGTTGAACTACTATATTTATCAGCCCAAAGGGGGTCCCTATAGTACTAAGAGTCTGGGCAGAAGAGCATGGAAACAACAAAAGACAAGCATGAACGATGCTGGGAGAATTAAGGATAGACTGATCTCTAGCACTTAAAGTCTTCAAGGTCAAATAAAAATTCTTCTGATTTAAAACAAATCTAAAAATGCTGACATGTTTACACTCTAGTAAAAGAGTAAACACTCTATTTTTAACCACCCAAACTCTGCTGGTCCTAATACAATAATGCTATTCCACAATGGGCATTAGGCTTAAGGAGACAAAGGCTGGGTTAAATAATCTAATTTCTATCTTGGTTTCAAAGTTACAAATTCAGTCACTTGTGGGCCCCATCTAGTAAGGGTGGTTCCACTAAGTTACATACATAATGAAAATTAAGACAAAGCTTTGGTGATAAGTTTTTTCCTGGATTTAAAAGCGCTATATGGTATCCCACAATCACAGGGTTGGTAATTCTCAGATTTAGACTCTGAAATTTAGGAAACTGTTTCTATAAACCACAGGTACTAGAGTTCTATCTGCTGCTCTGTGAGAGTATGCTCTTTCAGTATCTACTGCTTTAACCTGAATAAGTGCAATGCAATTTTCTGGGAAGATTCTATAATAAAAGTTCATACCAATCTGAAGAATGCTGACTCTCTCTATACTAGAAATAAAAAGTTATCTGATGAAAACAGATAAAAACAAAACACAGTTTAAAAAAAAGTCCAATGCTTTCAGTATGTGTTTTCCTTTTAAACATTTGCATCAATTACAAAAAAATGTCCAAAGAAATGTTTCAGAGATAAACTTTATATACAACTTTTACATATAGTTTTCTTTTTTAAATTATCTCGTCATACATAAAGTAAACTACAGCAGATTGTGCTTTGGGAAAAAAAAAAAACTTCAACTTCATCGCTCCTTTCCAGTTGTTGCACAAAGAAAGTCTGAGACTCTAAGGTCTTTTCCTTCTACTACATACAGAATACTCACTTTTAAAAGCTGAATGTAATGCACTAAAGGTCAACGTTAAGTTTTACTTGCTAAATACAAATAAGAATAGAATACATCTTCATCCTTGAAGGACACTTGTTATAATTTGCTAGAACTAAATAATAAAATGTTCCTTAGCTGCTGGTTTTCGTATCATCTTTAGTCATTCGTGGAGTACTGAGATCACTAAGATTAGGGAGAGTCTCTGTCCTACATTCAACACAGCTAACGTTTACGAATCTTCACAAGGCAAATGGCACTGTATTAGGCAGTATAAGTGGCACCTGAAAAGCCAAACACGATAGATTGAGACTTGCTCTACAGATTTGAGTTAGAAACCCCTGTTATTGTCTTTTTGGCATGTTCCTCACAATAAATATCAAAGCTGAAGTTCACCATAAAAGGTACGAATAATTCCAAAGGTAATGAAACTAAATTTGCCTTTGGTCTCCATATAGGTTGGAATATTTTTAATTCCAATTGAAGCACCTCAAAAACATCCAGCTACTGTTGATTTTCAGGAAGTGAAGCAGGTGGAGGAATTTAAGAGGGCGCTATGTTTTTTCGGTGACACCATAAAAAACTTGCAATGACATGCTACAATTTTCTACGTTAGGGGCACTACAGTGTACGTAGAATACTTAAAACGTTTATATTAAAGATCTCCAAAACAACATATCTAAAACCCAGAAAAATGTTATGAACACTATTTCTGCCTAATACATGACCAATGTTTGAAAAAAATCATCTTAACACGGAGTTCTCTCTACTCTCATCCCCCAAAAAAGGCCACACGGTGCATCCACAAAGAGTCATTCTCAAGATAGAGCCATTGCACAAAACGTACGCTCATGTATACTGAAGTGAGTACTACGCTGGAGCTTAACTGCAGAAATTTTATACACTAGTACAGCAACACCCACAAGCAAAAGTCTCCATAGTTACAGCAAACATCTTTACAATATAAGGCCATACAGAATACATTTAAAGAATTAAAAGGTGCAGCTGAACTCAACAGCAAAATGTAAAAGCTATATCCTGTTAGCACACTTAATCTGAATTAACTTGACTCTTTCTATGAGTTACCATTCAAGAAATTGGGACAGAATAAATTTCTTGTCAAACGCGGTTTGTTCATTTACAAAACTTGAAGTCAATTAGGATCACTACCAGCTCAATCAGACAGCAGAGGGCCCTCTTCTATAAAGTTCATATTGCCCCAGATATTTATGTTGCCTTAAAAAAAAAAACCCCAAAACTTGCAATGGGCAAAGCTAAAAATCACCATTTTCTCTACAAAACAAATGCAATCTATATAGATCTTCCAGAAATAATTCAAAGATTCAAATTCTTAATGTGAAAGCAAATAGAGAAAGATTCACAAGTGGTAAATTTTTTCCACTTTAAGAAAATGATACCTGGGTATGACACATGATAATTCAAGTTCATAACTAATAAATTGCCAAAAATCAAGTGCATTCATGTATCATGTTAGAAAAGACATGAAGACATGCTCAAGTTACTGAAATGACCAAGAATCAATATTTTACTGGTTTATTTTGTCCCAAACAATTACAATTTGAGTTTGATATGTTAACAACGTGAGTGTCCACATTATGCTAAACATCAAGCATCTGTCAGCGAAAACCAAAACATTTTAAAGCCAGATATATACACGATATTTAGACACTATTTCATTGGTTGTCAAAAACATTGACTACTAATGCCAAATAATTAAAATATTGTGCCAGACCCTCTCAAGGAAAGATGAATACTGAGGATCTCACTATTATTTTGTTATTTTACAATTTTACATGAATTAGAAGCCAGAAGTCAGAAATTTATGACTTTCAATACTATCTTTGGATAGTTACAGTATAGTATATAATTAGGGATGGCTTTGTTTAGAAGACTGGAAAAGCGCTCATGAAATAAACACTATACTCTGACTGCCATAAATCAACAAAATGCAACTTGTGTCCCATGGACATGGTAGAGAAAATGGCAATTTTGAGGAAGGAGTGCTTCTGAAAGCTTTTTCTTGGAGGCAGCTGAGATTTTTTTCACATTACTGAAAAGACCAAGTAATGTGGTTATGATTACTTTAATTCCTACAACCAAACTTCCACCTAGGCATAGTTACACGTTCCCAACTATTTTTCTTCTGTCCACCATCCTGGCTTCGATACTCCATGGTCCACTATCATCTTTTGGTCTTCTCTTTTTATAGTACAGCAGCCCAATGATGCTATCCATTGAGGAGGTAGACCACCAATTCATAGGTGGCCATCATAATGGCTGTGTTTGGAATCTGTCTCACCAGATGAGTTGTTAGACCACGGTAAAGAGACCCATAACCTTCTTCTTGAACAACCAAAGATACTGTCTGAAAAAAAGATCTGTATTTTGTTCCCTCTTCACGTAGTCTTGTTCTTACAACTTCTGTTTAGGAAAAAAATAAAGTCATTTTATTTAAATATTAGTGATATCTTTATACCCTCCCAATACTGAGCATCTCCCATTTATCAGTCTTTAAGTGTAAGCTTAGGATAAATAAGGAATGATTTTTAATGTGTTACTGATTGAAACCAGTCACATTATAATAACACCAAATTTCTAAGATAGCTGGCTAAAATCATGTATACTAATTATAAAATTTCATAGATTCCTGAATGGTAAAAGACAAAATAAAACGGAAGTGTAAGTTGTATATTTGTTGTAGATAAAAGAGAGAACAGATGTAATTAAAAAAGAAGGTGAAGCAGCAGGAAAGGGAATGGAGTTGGTATGAACGCTGAATACAGGAAAATATAGTGGGAAACAAGCAGAAAAGATTTTTAAAAAAGTGGACAGTACAATGAGAAAACAGAGTTATTCATCTATTCACAATGGTCCACATATACCAACATGAAATTTCACATGGCTGAGGCTGAAAATGTTTAAAATACTGGCCGCCAGGTAAAAGGTCCCATTTTGGGGGCAACTAAGCAAAAATCATAAAATTTTAGAGCTGAAAGGAATCTTAAAGATTACAGTCAGTCGAATTTTTCTTCATTTTAAAAGGTGAGGAAATTGGGGCACTGAGAGCTTTTCGTCAGGGGTAGAGGCTGGGACAAGAACTCAGAGCTTCCTCCTAGAGTCTGTTCTTTCTGCAGCCATTATTTCCAAACTTTTTCAACACAGTACTCTGGACGGGCCTGAGGGAAATGCCCTAAAGCCATTTTTACTGCAAATGTTAATAAATGAAATCTCTTGTGTCCTGTCTTAAAAATTCCTGCCGTTTATATATTCCACTTCAAAACACTGTTTATAAACTGTAACTCTTCTTGTAATGACATCATCTTACTTGAAGGAAGAGAGCTTAAAATCCCAAAACTCACTCGCACCTTAGGACCAGGCTGGTCCTCCCACAGGAGGCCAGAACCTCAACAATACTACAGACTCTGTCTTCTTTGACTCCACTTAAGGAAGTGAGTGAGGAACTTCCCTCAGGAAACTGGGCTAACTTCACAGCGCAACTTGGTTCAAGACTTGGTTTTATTCATAAATCGCACTTTGGAGCAAATACTCATTTCCTGGTCCCATTCTATTTTTCCTGACACAGCTTTAACAGCAGAACCTTAGCTTTACAAGGCAAATGTAAATGGTAGTCAGCATAACCACCAACCTCAAACACACCAGAATCAGACTGCACTTAAACAAAACAAAGCTACAAAAAACCTTCCACATGTTGCAGACAAATTCTTAAGTGATTTCCTTAGATATTAATGAAATAGGCTAACATTGTAAAACATAAAGACAGAAATAAAAGAAATTATTCATATACACTTATTTGCCAACATGAAATAATATAGAATAGCTTGGTTTTGGGATTTCAGACTTCAACTCAAATTTGGGCTCCACCACTGAGTAAGCTACATGACCTTGAGCAAGTTAATCTTAACATTGCTTGTTTCCCATTTAAAAAAAGAAGACAATTCTGGTTATGTTCTAGCATACCTTGACTTAGAGAAGGTAAGTACTTTGCAGGATTTTTATGTAGACCAGCAATAATGTATATAAAGTATCTAGCATAGCACGTACATCTGTACCTTTTTTTAAAAACAGAAACTTGCCCAAAGGTCACATGGCTGGAATCTGACTCCTGGGCTGAAATCTGACTGCCCACAGCACATGCTAAGTCACCATCATGCTACTATAGCATACACAAACTATTAAAACTGCCTTATGCTACTTATACAGATTTAATCCCATTATGATGAACTCTTAAGAATTGGATTTTGTTACACTAGAATTCAGTAAAATTATAAATGCTCTAAAAAGTGGGCTGTTGGCTGGGAAAATATTTCTGAATTAATAGATCATGACTCACATACACTCAACTCCTCTTACCATGTGGATACGCTATAGTTGTGGCACACGTTTTTGAGGTGGCAGCAGCTAGCATCATTCCCACAAAATCTGAAGCTTCTTTTACAGACTCTTCATCATTTTCCATTGTAGGAGGAGTCTTATATTCCAGTAGTTTTTGCTTAATACTTTCATAAATAACAAAATGGATAACAGTCTCTGATATGCCAGCATATGAAGCCGACATGCCCCTATAAAATCCTCTAAGTCCATCTGTCTGATACACTTTACGAACACATTCAAAAGCCCCCATTCGCTTTTCCCCACGGTTCCTGAAAAGCAAAAAGGAAAAACCTTATTAATGTAAATAAAATAGTACAGGTTTTTAAATAAAATATAGTAGAAATATGCCACTGTAATAAAAAATGATCTTTTTTTTTTTTTTTAATTTTTCCCCCTTTTTCTCCCCAAAGCCCCGGTAGATAGTTGTATGTCATAGTTGCACATCCTTCTAGTTGCTGTATGCGGGATGCCGCCTCAGTATGGCCCCACAAGCGGTGCACCCGTGCGCGCCCAGGATCCGAACCTGGGCCGCCAGTAGCGGAGCGCACGCACTTAACCACTACGCCACGGGGCTGGCCCCTAGAAAAATGATTCGCTTTAACTCATGAAGAACTGAAATCAGAATTTTAAAACACTCATTATAGAGATCCTATTCTTTTGTCCCAAATTTGTCATATTAGATGGGTTACATTTAAGTAGTTTATTTTACTAAATGCAAAATACACTATATTGAATCTTCAATTTCACGTCCTCATTGGAGTTTGTATTGCAGGGATAAACAAAAGAACCCTTTAGTCCCAATACACTGCAACCATGGCTCAAGATAAAAACAAAATAAAGTAAACAAAAACCCTCAATTATATTAAATCCACTTCTAATACATTAGATTTTTTTGTATTTAATAACATATAAAAAGAATGACTGACACCCCAATAATGATAGTACATCACAAAGCAAGGAGTATGATTAACCAAATTTCTGTGCACCTCAGGGACTCTTCCAACCCTACCCAGTTCCTCCCAAAAGGGTGAACTAAAGTCAAATTTCCCATGATCCTTTGAAGTCAATGGCAGTATTTTTGTTTCCGTATCCTGGTGAACAGTGAATGAGGACCTCTACAGTTCTCAAGTATTTACCAAGCACTGTGCCCGAGAAAACTGCTTTAGTGCTCCCCAGCTACTCTTATACAAGTACACAACTTTGAGTCTGTAAAAATATTTATTACCTTACACAATGATTCCCCCAATAGAACCTTATCTATAAGAAATGGGTTTAAATGCTACCCACAGGGAAAAAAATAGAAAACTTACCTATTTATAAATTATATATAACCTGTTTCTCACATAAGATAAAACCAAAACTAAGACACCTACCTAATAACCTACAGATTCCTCCAGTTTTATGAACTAATAGTTGTCTTGAACTAATAACTGTCCTCAACTAATGATATTGAATAAATAAATACCTTCTTATTTGAGTGATCCATACAACGAACTGTAATTAGTTTCTGCCATCGGATCCTTCCTCATGAGAAAGTTACAAGAACTACAAGTCCCAAGAGTAACAGGCAAATACTTCACCCTGTTCTTTTTTCTTCTTTTTTTTTTTGGTGAGGAAGATTGGCCCTGAGCTAACATCTGTGCCCATCTTCCTCTACTTTGTATATGGGATGCCACCACAGCGTGGCTTGATGAGCGGTGCTCGGTCTGCGCCCAAGATTTGAACCTGTGAACCGTGGGCCGACAAAGCAGAGTGTGTGAATCTAACCACTACGTGACCGGGCCAGAACCCTTCACCCTGTTCTTGATCTGTGTCATAAATTAGCATCCTCAAATCAACTTTTCACTATACTCCAACCCCATCCCATTCCCCATCCCCAAGCCTAAGAAATTGTGCTGGCTTGGGTTACAGTTATAAGTGAAAAAATACTATTAAAGAGTTTTAAGCCACGCTTTTCCTGGATCCCCTATAGACACATCCTATAACATACTGAAACATACCTGCCAGTAGTTTATAATAGTATACTATCAACTGACATCTCATATTTTTTTTAACCTTTGGGTTAAGTCTTACCTACCATTACTTTTCAGATCTTTGGCTTTAAAAAATGAACTTTTGAGTTTTGCTACACCACTTAAGATTTCATTGAAAATTATTCCAGATCAAACAAGAATCAGACATTTCAAGTCTCCAAATAGCACATAGTTCAACATGATAGAATGTGGAAAACAGATATTTAAGCAGGCATAATTGTTAATTATTTATTAGGTCAGTTTTATTTATAGTTTATAAGATGCAACACTAATTCCCAAACCCTAAAATAAAAAACAGTGGAAACTCATTATAGTCTACCCTGGACTGAAAGGCTAAAACAATTTCAAAACTACTAACATTACTATTATTATTATACACCAGATAGGATCATCTCTTTACTTAAAAGTGTTACCTTCTCCCCATCCTCCTTTTTAAAGGCCAACAGGAGTTGAGATGGCCAGATTCTAAGCTGCACTGCTTCCGGCCTTCTCTCAGTTCCCAGAACATGCCAAAGGCCCTAAACTTAGCACCTGTGAGGTCTGCACTGACTGTTGGCCTCTGCTTAAAATGGACTCAAAAAACCATTCCTTGACTATTCCATTTAAAGTTGGTCCCCACTGTTTCCTGGCACACCTCTAGAACCTAGCAGTACCTCACTATAGATTTATTGAATGAATGAATTTTGCTGCCATAAAGTGGTCAATGGTAACAGATGAAGTCTATGAATATATGAGAGCTAAATCCCATGTCAGGACTCTCTGTATATAAGGTTACTGAATTTGAGCAATGATCCTCAAAGATTCAGTCTAGACTAGTGGATCACGTGGGCTACTTTGCTGTTGGGAGGCTGATTATGATCACCCATGTAGTGCAAGGATCACTTCTTGGACTGGGTTAATATAGCCATTTCTTTCTTCTTCTTCTTTTTAAAAGAAAAAAGAAAAAAACAAAAAAACACATAATACACTCTCTTCCCTGGAAAATCTCATACTGCCAACTATCGTATTACTTTTGCTCCTCATGGTAGATCCAAGTTTTAAAAACAAAACAAAATAAAAAAACAAATTCATCAGCAAAAGAGGAAAACATGGTTAGATATCTGGCACTGAATCGCAATAATATAAATTTATAGAAAAAAATTAGTTGAAACCAACTTTAACTAATTCTGTTTTAATGAATTAACATACCTCGCATCAAGCTGTAACCGAGTCTTGATAAGCCAAATGGGGTTGGTCGCCGTGATTGCGGTAAAACCTAAACAAACATGTTTAAAATGAACGCTGGTAAAAATGAAGAACACACTATTAACTTTAAGGTTTCTAAACTTATATAAATCTATATTAAAGAAAATGCATATAAATATTTAAAGTATTAACTGATGTATGCTTTACACTTCTATTTTACAAATCCATACAGCCATGAACATTTGTACTTTACTTCCAATCTACATTCTTAAATTCTGACCATAACTAAAGGATTCTTTTAAAAGCAAAATCTGAAATTCCTCTCCCAACATATTCAGAATATCTCAGGGGCGCCCTCTACTCTCTAAGCTGAATTGTGAAACCCATTTCTACAAACATAGAAATGTTGTGTATTCCAGGGCTTTTTAGCATGCAAATTCACCTACAAATAGCTAGTGGGGTCCAAATAACATCACAAATCACTATGTACAAAATGGATTCGACAGAAACGTCAGCATTTACTAAAATGTTATCTTAAGTTGACTGTATAACAGAAAGGATTGTTGTTTGGCCTTATGAATACTTTATATAAACATACACTTACTAAGACTGTTAAAATAATGGCACCACAGAGGTAAGGTTTCTGTTAGGGTTGACAGGACAGATCTCTTTTTCATTCACTTAAACACATACAAAACCTCAAAAAGTTCAAAAAGTTACAAATTGGAACTTCCCTCTCACTTTTATAGACACCGAGAAATTCAGGGTAGCAGGTAGCTCTAGTTTACTTTACACTAAAGCACTATGTACTAGCTATCAGTGCAGAAGGGTGGTCACCTAAGATGGCTCATTCCAGGTAGTAAATTCAGATCTCTGGAACAGTGTATTTCTTGGCCAGTGCATATCTTCTACTTGCTATCTTCCTAGTGTTATGGAAAAACAGCAGTATGTGAAACGCAATCTTGATGATGGGAATTTATGAAGATTGCTTCATCTATACGAAACAGGGTTTTAATATACTGCTTGTGAACATTTAAGATCAGCACACAAACATCACAGAACTACTTACATCAAGCTACATTTATTCAGTCGGCCTTTAAATTCAGTGAAAAGTTACATGCAGAAATGTCTAAGGATCTGAACTATTTTAATACTTTCTGTCAAATACTAGCAGGTCAAGCACATTATTTTTAGAAAGGTAGAATATAACCAGCACATTTAATATGAGTAAAGTACTTTCAGGAACAAAAATGCCATGGTGTACTTAGGAATCATTTGTTTTTCAAGTTAACATATAGTGCAAAACCAATTATAAACCTATCTTGGCTTTCAAAGTTAGTATGGGTTGGTATATCTACAAATAATTTTACTAAATTGATTACCAAGTGGAATTTAGTCTTACAGGTTCTTTTTCCTTCTATAACGTAAGATAACTAGCTAACTCAAATTTTACTCCCTTAATCCACTGTTTTAACATTGTAGAAACAGCCAGATGTTTCACAAATGGATGCTCAAACTGAATCTATTTATTAAGCAAGATAAATGGAATAAAAGTTAGGTTTGACAACTCCTTTAATAATTTTGTAATGGTTACATAGTCTCCATTTCTCTTAAGTGCTTTTAATACCACATACATACATGTAAAACTAGAACGGGACCAACAATTTTGAAGCATCAGCCAGTACTAAAATAATAAAAATTTAAAGTGTTGGACAGGTTGTCAGGAACATTTTTAAATAAGAGGTTCTTTCCATGCATATACTCTTAGTAAAAGGAAAGAGAAGAAGAAAAAGAAACTGTCAGACCAGTTTAAATATTTTGTTTGGAAAAGACTTTTCTTGCATGGCCTGGCTTAAGTGAGAATAAAGTTGAAGAGTATTATTTTTTTCTTCTCTTGAACATAATTTTTCTCAGGGAAAAAGTCAAACTAAAGATTAAAATTATATTTTAAAGCAAATAGGCATCGGATATCAGTATTCTGGTCATTTAATGATTCTTTACTTTTAAACTTAAATATTTGTATTAAGCTAAAATGTACAGCAATATTATGGGTTTATTAGCAAAAAGCTGCTAACCAGCACAAACCAACAAAATACTCTGCATTACTCACAATGGTTTTTATTAATCATTCTGTGGAATTTTTAATTTAAGAAAAAATATTTGCTTTTTATTAAATTTTAAAAGCCTAAAACTGGGAATATCCTTGTAGGAAACTTTTTTAAAAAAAAGCCTGTTTAGGTAAAACTCTCATTCAATTTATTATACTTTATTTGAAAAGAAGATAAGCACCAAGGTTTTGTTTTAAATAAAAGTTCTCTTTCTAAAAATATAAACTTAGTACCCAAGCTTAATATTCTTCCAAGTCACAAAATCCCTCAATTAGAGGCTGGAAAAAACCCCATATATGAACTTTAAAATATTACAATAAATACTAATAAATGTTATTAGGAATAAATATTTTAAACACCTTTAAATTATAATTTTAATTATTCTCTGTACATATTAATAAAAAATGACAGGAAGCAAACAACAGGTATTTCTCACTTAACTAAAATTCATTTCCAGACACAAATTAACCTATGGAACAGGACACATTAAAATTCAGCTAAGTGAGAGAATGTTGTCATGTCAGGGCCATATAACTGCTGTCATCAGTAACCTGTGCTGACAACAGCTGTTTTGGCTCAACTCTCCCAATAATAAGCTGGCTCTCTTCATAAAGACACTAGCCTAACTGCCAGCAAACCATCAGGTTACATAAAGAATCTAGGCACAATCCACAGGTTTTTAGCTATTGGTCCTTTACTGGTTAAAACGCTGGTCCTTGAGTTTTAGGCTATGACTTTCTCTTAAAGACACTCTAATGAACTAAGTAGACATTATTAGGCTAATTAAATCTAGAAATACATAATCTATTAATTCAAGAAATAAAACAAGTGGGAGGAAACAAAAATGTACCACTAGCTTAGAATTATATACGGCAAAGCAATCTGATATTGACAAACAGCCAAAGCTAAACCTATCTTCCTACTTCTTCTAAGACAAACATACACAAGGAATTGGGAATGGTGCCCCTGAAATTTAGAAATTTCCAATTATTTTGGCATTTAAAATTGGTTACATTTTGATAATATGCTAATTCATATTAATATTCTGAGCACCCAATTTTATACAATAAAATTGACTTAGAGGTATACGAAGGATCTATTTGTAGGTTAAGAAGAACTAATATTGTTCCACAGTCAGTTAAAGCAAAGTGGCAGTACACTGGCCATATTGTTAGTAGTGTGGTTAGTATTTTATTAGAAAGCTTTTTCTTTTAAAATGCAATTTTTAAAGTTTTGCTTCATCTAAGACTCCATTTGATAATGTAAACCAATTAAAAAACATACTAAACAGAAATCCAGCTTACAGTAAACTTGCTGAAAATGTCTATTTCATTAAGTGAGTGATACCTGTAGTATTGCATTTTCGGTACTTTTTATTTTAATTAACTTCTGTAAGATCAAAGCCCACCTAACTGTCTAAGAGATATGTATTAAAACTAGTAAAAAAAAAAAAAAAACCTAAAAAAACCCACAAAAAACCTATTAAAACTAAAACACCTAAGATCCCATATATTCTTATCCTGCATTTATTTGGAAACTAAGGGTAGGTATTAAGATCAATGATTTGCAAGAGAGTAGAAAGCCAAGTATCAACAGACAAGAGAATGGAAAGCATTGTCTTAGACTTTTTAGATATTAGACTTTTTGGATATGTTATGCTACGCAAAAGGAACAACTATGTTTTCTAGAAGTTGTAGGATGGTATGATACCATTTACAACTATGTGTATCTTAAATACAGTTATCAAATTCTTTAGAGGTCAAGGCTATTATGGCCAAGCTGAAGATCCCAGGCTTTCATTACATGATGACTGAAAAATTATCCCATTCTTTCTTCTAGAAGGACTATTACAGAGGAATCAGAATTAAAGTTTCATAAAATACTCAGATAATGCACACACAAATTCAGGAAATAAAAGTTCATTTCCCGCCTTCTATTAATTCCACAGCTATTATAAATTCCCAGGGTGTGTTTCTTATACTAGAGGCTGCAAGAGATGCTCAGATCAGTACTCACGAGGTTTAAGTTAGTCCATATTTCTACAGGAAGTGACCTGCGGATGGGGAGCATGAGATGACACGATCTCACTCTTTTCTCGGGAGAAATGTACAGTAAATGCCTAAAATAGACACAGGCTTTTCTGTATCATAACAACAAGCAGTGACCTCATCAGAAACATGTGTACAAAATGAATCCCATTGGAAGGATTTGAGAAATATTTACTGTGAGATCTAACTTCTTTGAAAATTTTAAGTTAGAAAAGAATATCAGAATGGGCCATAAATTAAAAAAAAAAAAAAATGCACCGAGTACTGAAAATTCTGCCATCTGTAGCAGTTTCAGAGTCCAAATACTTACCTAAAAGAAGATCAATTTTGCCTTAAAGAAAAAATGCTAACCTTGTCAAAGGGGAATCTAAGAAAATATTTAGAGGAGATTATCATATCCCATCTTCCTACCGTTATTATCTACCATGATTAGAGTTGAAATCACAATTTTCTATTCTTTATTAGCCTACTTAGTAAATCTTAAAAACAAAAACCAAACAGAATATTCAAGTAACTTCATTTTGTAACTATTCATAAATTTTTTTTTTATAAAACATATGTTGCTACAATAGTACCTTTCACCTTTTTGCACTATTGCCAGTAATATTGCACATCCATTTTTATGGAATATTTTGGATTATTTTGTATTTAATTTCTTGTGTTCTAAAAAACAAAAAACAGGAAGAATGTTTACACACAAACACACAAAACATCTATCCAACCATCCTCCTGGTTGAATGAACTGCCATGGACAAAGAAAATATTTTAAAAAATATTTCATATATGCAAGACAAAATTTCTATTTAATGAGTAAAAACTTAACCTTTAATAATAAACTTTAAGTCAAATAGAAAAATATATCTCAAAAAATAACAGTGAATGCTATAAGCAAATAAAACCCACTAGCTATGTAGTAAATGTTAAACAATTAATTATTGGTATTCAAAAAATTGAGCAATAACTGTTTGAATATATAATCCAATAAAAGTCAGAATTCATTCCCTTTAAATCTGTAATATATATAAAAGTATATACATTCCAGATAAAAACTTCTGCAAGTTGGGAATTACTATAAAGAAAGAAGAAACTTAATTTTTTGTATACACACCTGTGTCTAGGTGTATACAGAGGGAAATGCAAGTTCAATTAAACAAAACAACACAAATATCCTCAACAAAACAAACACCCTCAAAAGCTAAGATACATTTAGTCTGACAAAGCTCATATGTAGGGGGAAAAAAAGGCAGGCAAAACATAGAGCCAACATTATTTCATTTGATTAAATAACCTTGCAATTGGAAAAAAAATTTTTCAAAGCATTAAAATTTATAGCTCAAATTTAGAAATTTACAAATTCTTATAGTATTCCCTTGAAACACTACAACAAATGAAATTAAGACCCACTTTAAATAAACTGTCCTTTTAATAGAAAAGGTTTAGTATCGAAACTGTTTAGTTCATATAGATAAAATGCAAAATTAAACTGACTTAAGAGGTTACTCAGAATTAAAATTAGGTACAAGGTATGTTACTAAATCCTTAATGTGTGTGCTGTTTGTTTGATGTGGCAAAATCTTGCAGGCAATATCATTAATGGCATTTTTTGGATACTAAAGTGACAAGGTTAGCATTTTTTTTGAATAGCCAGTTAAAAAATGATTTTTCACATGACTGCCTCTAAGCACTTTGCACCCTCAATTCATATTTAGAAGACCTCTAAAAACGATTCTGAATAAAAACCAGAGCAATCTGGTCTAGATTATTTCAAGAATGAAGGGGGCAAAAGTCTACCTTAATGAATCTGCAGGGGACCATTCAGTTTCACCAACCACACAGTTATGTATAAAAACCGTGAAGCTAAACGTTAATGCTCATGAATAGTGCAAGGAAGCTCTGAAAGCACAATTCTCAGAAAAATGTGACTGCAAACAAATGGAAGAAGTATTTTCAAATTACATAATAAATGTATAGTGTAATAATCTCTGAATAAGTATAAGACTATCAATTTACCAAAATTCAAGGAATTCAAGTTGGGAAATAGTATCAAATAGATAAAAGCAAACTATGAGTTAACATTTGCCCACATTTGAGAAAAAAGTGCAAAATGACAATTGCACTAAAATTCTTTGCAAAGCGATACAAATATAGTAATAAATTCTGATGAGATATTCCAATGAAAAAAGATGTTCCAGTGGGAATTAAGGTATTCCGAAACTCTAAATTTGAAATACTGAATATGTAACAACTATCCTCAACTTAAAATGATGCTTATCTACTTTCTTGATTTCAATGCTTTCAAAAAAGAAAGATTAATATTTTTAAAATAATTTTCTGGGGTTAAAAAACAAAAACATAAACACTGGTAATCCAAAAATATATTCTTAAAGATCCTAATACAGTGGTTATACAGTTTGAAATTGGCCACTTTTACCTTATACCCACTCAAATTTGTAGAGGGAAAATCATATCTATTTGTATTGAACATCTGTAAAAAGCACATTAAAAAATAATTCTAGTTGTAACCAGATAATCTCTATGGCACTAAATAATTCTCAAAATCCAAATCTATATACACCAACCTACTCATTCCAAGGATAAGGTAATAGAGCTTCACATATAACTTGCCCAAGATCTCATTGGTAAATAAGAGTATTTCACCACCTTGATCTTTAAAGTTGTATCTTCTAGCTATAAAACTTCAATGAGTCAGTCAACAATTACTAAATATTAAAAACCCTGGAACAATTTGAAAGGTATATGCTAAATTTATTATATGGCTACTGACCTTTCAGAAATTAGTATTTCAAACTTACACTTAGTTCATTAAGTTATGTGGTTCAAACCGATCCAATTTATTTCTAAACAAAAAATGGTTAACAATTTAAGGCATTCATTATTAAGCACATAATTGACATTCAATTTATTGATCAAAAGCTGATAAAGTAGTTATAATTTGCTTTATAAGTCATAGCATAATTTGGAGATGTGAGGTATGGTTAAATACGCAACAAGTCTCAGGAAACTGTATAGAGAATTTTATAATGAGAACCAAAGGTCATGGCTTTGTCTAACATGCATGGCAGCTAATGATTCCAGAACCAGACTAGTCAAACCGATCGCCTTTAAGGCAGTGCAGAGGCGCAGGACTAGTTGTTTTTTAATTCAGAATCATAGATACTCATCAACGATGATAGATGAGTTCCTGGAAACATTCCTACAGCAAGCATGTACACATAGCCAGTGCCTAAATTTCAAGTGCTATCTAGTATGATTTACATGGAATGCTACATGTATTTTTCAAAATACATACAGTATAGTAACTCTTAGTTATCAATAATACATCACTCACAAAAATTTCAGCATTTGAGCACAGGACAAAATGAATACTTTACCAAGAACTGCCGGCACATTTCAGACAGAAGCCAAAACATGCAGCAAAAAGAGAAAAGGCACTAACAGAAATTGAGGAGAGAAGAGTAAATTACAGCTCCATAACTTATTTATAGTGTAATTATGGTTGGATTCTTAGAACTGTTAAAAGAGATCACTAAATATTCAGTGAACTACACAAGACAATGTAAATACTATGCTACCTGTATGTTATTACAAAATCCTAATTACAAAAATGCCAACTGACAACAGATTTTACATGTACCTCCTGATCAAATTTATTGTATACTAATAAATATAAAAATCGTGTTTGCAGATGCTAATTAACGAAAAGCACATTGTCTTAACTTTACAATGTAAATTCAGTATAATTCAATATTAAGTCTATAGGTTTCAGAAAATTTTGTTTTTTAATATTATATATTCATACCTGCCATTGCAGCTGAAATCATGTGTACCTGGGTAGAATCAGGATCAAATACACCATTCAACTTTTCCTTGCAGTTTGAATAAGCAGCAAAGTATATTGCTCTAAAATAAAGATTTAAATTTTATCAATAAGCATGTTGCTTAATTCATAAGATTTAAATGACATGTAAATTGATCTTTTATAAAAATTTTAAAGTGGAGAAATCCAAAAACATAAAGTCTTAGCCACATTCTCATGTAATGTCAGGTTAATTTACACATTTTTTTCCATAAAGACTCTGAGTACTTTTTGTATCGACTCATTAAGAAAAAGACACACTCAAATGTAAAGTTCCTCAAATGTAAAGCATCCTCAGACACCCCCACCCGCTTCACCCCAATACTTCAGTGGCAACTGAGTAACTGAAACAAAAAGTATTTGTCTAAGATTTTGACATGAATAAGGCTGGAAGGCATATGTAATGCTAAGCCTAAATTAAATACACTTAACTGAGTTAACTAAATGTAGTATGAGCATCTAAATATATATATAAATGTTTTGGGTTATTTTCGTGGTGAGAGGGAGGTGGTACTGATCCAACTGATCAAAGAATATGTTAAACAATTTTGAGATACAGTGGTATATTCTAATCTATACTATATACAGAGTAGTTCACAGAATCCTAAAATAGACAAAACAATTCTAAAAGAAATCAGCCCCATCAAGTCAGGTCATGGTTTCCAACATTAGTAAACATTCCATTACGTTTGTAAACATTTCTCCTGTTAACTTATTGACTATGACTTGATGGATGCCAACTACCTCCTCACTGTTTAGCTTTCTAGGCACTGATTTGCTTGCTTGCTGTATCAAATAACCTGTTATTTCCCAACAATCCTGATTATCTGTCCAATGATGGACAGAGTAGACAAATAGGTAGAAATGGGGAGAGTCTCACTGCTGTGCCTTTTTCAATGTGCTTAAGAAAAAAGAGAAGTTAATATAATTTAAAATGAAGCATTCTACTTTATGAGAAAGAAAAAAAACAGGATACATTTAATGATGCTAAATTGTGAAGAGAAATAAACAATGCATTCCTAGAAATTAATAAGAAAGAAAGACATCCTAATGAGAAAATGGGCAAGGAAATAATATATATGGAATTCACAGAACAGATATACAAATAATTACAAAAAGGGAGTGCCTGTACCAAAAATTAAACGAATGTATATTAAAACAGTAAAAAATCATGTTTAATCTGTTTGGCAAGTATTAAAAGACATGGATAGTAGCCAACATTGTTAATATGTTGATAAAGAACAACTAATTCACTACTTGAGAATCAAAATATAGGATGTCTTTTCAGAGGGCAATTGAGCATTATTCATTACTTTAAACGTGCATATATCCTTTTATTGAGAAATTCTACTTAAAGGTAAGTAGCCAGAGAAATATACTTGCTTAAGTACTCAAAAACAAAGGCACAGCTATGTTCACAAAACCATTGTTTTTAATAACAAAAATCTGGAAATAAACTTAAATGTTTATCAATAAAGGAATGTTTATTAATGAGGCGATAGTCATACAATTTAAAAAAACTACATATTTTGATGAAAAAAGCTTCAAGACAAATTTGGCAAAATATTTTTAATAAGATTCAATTTATGTAAATAAGTATACATATTAAACATGTTATGTACAGGATAAACCAAAAAAATTAATGGAAGACTATACACCAAATTGTTTATTAATGATGGTTATCCTAGGGGACACGAGTTAAGTACGTGTGGGAAGGTGCATGGGGTGAGAGGTGCTGTGTTTAAGGTGAAATGTCAAGCTTTATACTACACATTCTTTTAGTTTTACAATAAGGATGGAATTTTGGATAATTTTTTTAAAGAGAGAGAAAAGAGCCCACAAAAAGCTGAAACACAATGAATAATGAGACATGGATCTGGTACACTGTTTGGATACAGAGAGCTGGGTATGTATCTTCTCTCTGACTGTGAACTCTACACAGTGTTCTATCACAGAAGAAGTCAATCTAAGATAAAAAGATAGAGAAAAATCACAAATTAATGTATTAAGGCCTTTTCAGTTTCTTTAACAGGGAATGAAACCATTCTGTTTGGCTTGTCCCCTAAGCCAAAAAATAGGGTTAGTTCTAGAGATGCAGATCTTCCCCTTTCTTACTGCTGGTTCCTTTAGTTTGTTCTTTGCCTTTTGAACTTAGTGCAAAAACTGCTTCACAAGTATCTCCCTAAGAGGTCCTATGTACCCCTACATGGTGCAATCTGCCCATTCTTTTAGATGGTCACTGATACTCGTCTGTTATACCACAGTGCCTTATCCTTACCACCTAGACTTCTCTTCAGCATCTCCCCTCTGAAGCTTGAAACAAGAAAGACTGACACAATTTTGCTTAAAAAAAATTTTTTTTTTTACCTGGAAGGGGCCACCCCTACTATATTAGGGCCTAATCCTCTAAACAAGGAACGAGGTCCTTCTTTTTCCAAGATCACCCTGAAAGAGAAAAATATTATTTAGAAAGCAACGTCCTTCAAAGTCTGGTACTTTATTTGTATAGCAAACTTAGAGTCTAAATCCCATATGTTTGTACTATGTTACGCAGCTCTGGTCAGTTTTCCTTGTTTTTCTTAACACAGCATAAATTACTGAAGACTGATAATAGATTTAGTAGTGATAATAAAAAAAATCCATTCAGATTCTTTCCTAAAAGTTCTAAAGACATATCAATATAGATTTCTACATTTATTTTCATATGATCATGCTACTCTTATCTTTAATCTCTTAAATGTACTATCTTTACTAGCAAATTCAATTCGCAATTAAAAATGTAGTTCCCCCTAGTATTTGAGGTCCTTTCTTCAACAATGGAAAATTCTCTCAGTACTGCAGCATTATCTCATCTTATCATTCCAGTGAAATGCTATGGCAAAAATCTATCACCCTAACATCCTTTAGGGTACTATAACGGCTGGCCTCTTACCATTCCTCCCTCTACTCAGTTAACATTTACTACATTGAATACTTACTGTATAAAGACTAAGCAGAGTAAGGAGATAGAAAAGAAAGGGTGAGGCCCCTGCCACTGAGAAATCTGCTGTCCAGTCGTGAAAAAAAGAATTATATTGAAACAAATAATTTAACAGATCATATTAACAAGCAAATACTATACAAGCTAGATATATATGCCCAGCAGAGAAAAGAAGAGAGACATGTCTAAGTCAAGGAAGGCTTTCTGAGGGTGAATTATTAAATTAAGTTTTAGAGGTAAGAAGAAACAGATATTCAGGAAGGGTAGGTATTTTAATTCAGAGTTAACAGACCAGGCTAGTGGTTCTCAAACATCTATACGCTTAAGAATGATCTCTTGAAAGGCAATTGAGTGTAACAGTTAATTAAGGGCTTGAGTTGTTGGGCCAGACTTCTCAATATCAAGACCAATTTTGGTAACCAACTAGCTGTAAGAACATCAAGTAATAACTTTTCTCTTATCCCTATTTTCATCAGCAATAAATACAGAAAAATAGTACTCTTTTTTTGAGTTACTCTAAGGAATAAATAAGTTAATATATAAAGAGCTTAAAAGAGTGCCTGGCACACAATAAGCATTTTGTAAATCTTAATATTATTATTATCATTATTACTGGAGCATTTGTTTAAAAGGCAGATTTCTTAGATCCCACCCTCGAAGTATTCTGAGTCAATAGGTGCTGGACAATGCTCAGCAATTTGCATTTTTACCATGCTTCCAGATGACTGAAACAGGTGATACAGAACTACTTTTGATAAAACTAGATTAGACAGAAGCAGAGTTAAGAATGACCAATTATAGAGCACACTTTGAAGATTCAGTGTTTGATAGCCTTTTCTCTACCATAAATCCCTTTGAGAAATTAGGAAGGTAAGTGTCCTTTTAAAAAAAATGCACATGTGCAAACACTCATAAATTTACATACAATTTCATCTAATTTATAGACCTCTTGAAGGTCATCCATGAGCCACCTATAAAACTAAGAGAGCCCAGGGGGATTCCTAAAGTTCCTAGGATGGCTGTAATCAAAAAGACACATCAACAAGCGCTGGCAAGGATGTACAGAAACTGGAAATCTCATTGGTGGTGGGAATGTAAAGCGATGCAGCTACTTGGGAAAACAGGTTGGCAGTTCCTCAAAATGTTAAACATAAAGTTATTGTATGACCCAGAAATTCCACTCCTAGTATATCCCCAAGAGAAATGAAAACACATGTCCCTACAGTAGCATTATTTATAATACCCCAAAAGTGGAAACAACCCAAATGCCCATCAGCCAATGAGTGCATAAACAAATTGTGGTACATATCCATACAATGGAATATCTGACAATAAAAAGATACTTGTTCCAACATGGATGAACCTTGAAAACATTATGCTAAGTGAAAGAAATCAGTCACAAAAGACCACATATTGTTTAATTCCATTCACATAAAATGTCCAGAATAGGCAAATCTATATTGACAGAAAGTAGATTAGTAGCTGCCTGGAGCTGGGGGTGGGGGAGAAAATGAGGACTGCTATCGGGGCAAGGATTTCTTTTTCTGATGATGAAGAAAATGTTCTAAATTTAGAATGCGGTGATGGTTGCACAACTCTGTGAATACACTAAAAACAAGTGAATTGTACACTTTAAATGGGTGATTTTTGTGGTATGCCAATTATATCTCAATAAAGATGTTGAAAAAAAGAAGCGGCAGCCATGAAACAGATTGATTAGGACAGAGCCCCTGAGTAGGGAAACAATGGGAACAATACTACATCATAGGATGTAGTGTTAAGGCAAGAAAATGCAGACCTGGACGTCACCTGTATACTGCTGACAGGTGAAAACGCGTTAATTTGACACTTACATAAGAGGGCCTGAAAAACTGAGAAATTAAATCAGAGCCCAGAGGAATTCCTACAGTTCCTGTGAGGAAAGTCAGAGAAGGCAAACCATTGAAAAACAGAATAAAAAATATAGTATTGTCATAGAGGTCAAAGGAAGAATTTTAAGGAGAGGTAATCAGTGGTAATAAATGTCAAAATCATGATATTAAAGTACTCTATTAATCAAAAGAAGTATTGGGCCGGCCCCGTGGCTTAGCGGTTAAGTGCGTGCGCTCCGCTGCTGGAGGCCCGGGTTCGGATCCCGGGTGCGCACCGACGCACCCCTTCTCTGGCCATGCTGAGGCCGTGTCCCACATACAGCAACTAGAAGGCTGTGCAACTATGACATACAACTATCTACTGGGGCTTTGGGGGAAAAAAATAAATAAATAAAAATTAAAAAAAAAATCAAAAGAAGTATTTATCTATAACTATGGCATTTTACTCCAAAATTGTTAACAATTTTATTCTACCTATTCATATACTTAGGCAAGTTTGAAAAAAGAAAAGACTGATGAAATCTCTTGACAGTGAAAGTAAACACACAGTATGAGTTTATTTGCTACTACAAAATAAACACTACTGAACTAAGTTCAAATAGATTATGTCCCAAGTGAGCTGATAAGGCAGACACACAAGGCGTTCAGTTACCTACTTAAATTTAAACACATAAAACCTAATTTCAATAGTTTTGAAATCTCAAATCCAATTTGTAACATAATGAAGTATGGTAAAATGTAAAACAAAATCTTTTTTAAACCATCAAGAAATGTCAAATAAACACTGAATTCCATTTTAAAACCAGTAGAACTCTGCTTTAAATCTCAGTTATGTTGAGGTTATATAAAAATCACACTCTGCCATTAATGAGATGTACTTACTTGTGTGAGTACTTGGAAAATTAAAAACACACAAAAAGAGTTAGCATTTAATACCATCACATTTCAAGGATAAATGAATTAATAATCCAAAACAAAATGCCTACAATAGCTTTAGAAAATAAATCCACTGGATAAACATAGATTATCCAAATATTCTAATGTTTTCTAAAAAATATTCCAAATACATATCATTTGGAAATAATATTATATTTTATATTATCCAACTAACTGTTCCTCTCCATTAAGGATCATCATTTCTAATGAATATAATTCAGAGTAACTCTGTCATTAAGTTTGTAAAAAAATTTTTTTAAATATGGCAGAATATAGTAACAGGCCAGTGGCACAATGGATAACGTGTCTGACTATGGATCAGAAGATTCCAAGTATGGCAGAATATAAACAAACATATGGGCATCATTAAGACAGACAGACTAAAAAAAAAAAAATCAGGAATACTGTGCTCTCACTTTAGGCAATGGAGAGGTCCAGGAGACACTACTCGGTTGACACTGGCTCCCGCCATGGTGTTCAGCTGAACTTCAGAGATGTAAAGTGTCACAGAAGATGACTGCAGCCGCGTTTTTACAACTTCGAGTGGACATGTCAGAATAGCTCCCACTGTACCACCACATCTACAAAAAAACAAAAAGGACAAATCTACTTAATTCCTAACTTAGTACACATGTGCAGAGCAGTAACACAAGTAGGCAACTGGGGCTTTGCCAAGGTACTAAAATTTAAGATAAATTTTGATTTTAGGAGACTAAGAAAATTTTTTAATGTTTCATTTATTTGACTGCATATCAACACCCTCAGTAGCTAAAAAGAATTGAGCTTAATATCTACCTAGCAAGAATAATTAGCTAAAAGACTCTAGTCTGCTTTCGTTACTAACAGCAGTTGTTACTAAAATTTACTGGTAAGTCACATCATAGCTTTAAATACTGTTCTAGGGGTATATTTGGTGCTTCTCACCCAGATATTACTTGTGGCTGTGTTGAAACCTAGACCATTATTAGAGGTATATCCTCTCTCTCAAACTCCTATCTTACTTTTCAAAACTCAAGAAATGATCTTCAGAGCAACAAGATATAAACTACTGATGGATAATCACACTGTCTCCTATTTTAAATATCCAAGTACTCAGAAGTGTTTCACCTACAAAAAAACACAGCATTTGAGTCTCAAAATCAGTATCTGTTAGGCCCACATGTGGAAATCTGTGCAAAGTGGGTAGGCTTAGCTCGAAGAATCCAATTTAAATACAAAGACTGATCACCAAAACAACAAAATAAAAGCTCTAAACAAATGAAATTATTTAAACTTTTTA